GGGGGGCGACCCCGCCCGCGGGCGGGGAGGGGAGGGGGGAAGGCGTCTCTGGGTGCTGTGACGCTGCTTCCGCCATGGGAAGGGCGCTGGGTGGGAGCCGGGGGTCTCGGGGTCGGGAACTGGTGCTGCTGCCTGCTGGCAACCCAGGGTTGCTTTCCACCAAAACAGCGCGGGAAATAGTCAGGGCTCTGGTTTCCGAGGCAAAAAGCCGTCATCGCATGCATCCCGGGGGATTTAGTCACTTGGCAACGGAGCTGCCGGCATAAAGATCTGCTGGGGTCCTCCCCGAGGGCGGGGGGCTCACAGGGACCCCTGTGCCGCCCCGATGGGATGGCGGAGCTTGGTCACGCATCGCCAGAGCCCTGCTTTGGAGGTAGCAGCGTGGCAGGCGGGGAGCACAGCAGTGAGGGAACCTCCCTGAGGGCCGGGTGGGGGACGTGGCGCTGCTGCCGGACTGGTCTCCGTGGAGGCAGGGCGGGTTCTCGGTGGAGGCAGGGCATCCTCTGCTGCCTGCAGCAGGAGAGGCACGCGGCGCACCAGGATCGTCCCCTGAGCCCTCGTGCTGCCTGCAATCCCGCTGAGCCCCCAGCCGCTTGGCCAAGCACCGCAGCTCCCCTTGGTCCAAGGTCTCTGGCAAAACCCCTCAGTGCCCACTCTGGAGCGGGTCTCTGAGAGCATCTCCTGTCTGGGAAATAAGCCCTGACACCACCTGGGATGGGCAGTAGGTGCTGGGGCAGATCTGTGGTGCCAGCAAAACCCTGGGGCAGCGGTGCTCTAGGCAGCCAGGGAAACTGAGGCAGGGAGTGGGGTGAGGGTGGTAGGGCCGGGAGCTGCCACCCACCACCACGCTGCCTCCTTGTCCAGGATGTTCGACGTGGGTGGCCAGCGCTCGGAGCGGAAGAAGTGGATCCACTGCTTCGAGGGGGTGACGGCCATCATTTTCTGTGTGGCCCTGAGTGCCTATGACCTGGTGCTGGCTGAAGATGAGGAGATGGTGAGTTGAGAGGGGATGGAGCTGGCTCTGTGAGCCATCCCCTCCTTGGGGGGCCAGGGGAGCACCCCCTCCTCTGGTGGCCACCAGTGCCGTGGCAAGTGTGGCCCAAGCCTTGCAGGGCCCTCGGCATCCCCTGCCCGGGGGGCAAGAGCAGTGGGGGGTGGAGGTTGGGCAGCGGTGGGGTGGGTGCTGCCTGGGGCTCTCTGCTCAGGCTGCCATCATCTCCCCTGCCAGAACCGGATGCACGAGAGCATGAAATTGTTCGACAGCATCTGCAACAACAAGTGGTTCACAGACACATCCATCATCCTCTTCCTCAACAAGAAGGACCTCTTTGAGGAGAAGATCGTGCACAGCCCCCTGACCATCTGCTTCCCCGAGTACACAGGTACCGCCGGGTCCCTGGG